GAGGGGACAAATAATCAAGTCTTAGAAATATTGATTTCGCCTCCTTAAGCGGGTAGAGCTTAGATATTATCAAACGAAACAGCAGTCAGACACGGGCGCGTGTTCAAAGTTTGTGGCTCTTAATGCAAAAGGTAAGACAAACTTTGTGGGCGTCATGGAAAATTCCACAAACTTAATTCCAGTGGTTATTGCTGTATTTGGTGTACACGTTAAATAAATAGGATGGCCTCAATGAAAGTCACAGAATTTCAGGGGACGCTCCATTCTGGCCGCCAGAACACTGAAACGGGAGACGCCGAGGAAATGTTAAACTGTGTGACGTAAGGCCGCGCAATGGCGATGGCTGAGGACGAGGGTTAACTTTATTGAACGACTCGTAACCCGGGGTTCGTCGCAGGTGGCCACTTTGCCTCCCACGCAAACTTTGTATCAATGGAAAAGTATGAACGTGAAGTGACGTTTAGCGGTATGCCAAGTTTCATGAAAACTTGTCCATTGACACTAAACCTGTTATGGGAGACAAACTGCATATTTAATGGACCTTAGCCAAAGAAGACTGCTACATGCTCAAGTGAGTTTGTGTCACTGTGTTCATGGGCTGTCCTTTGGTCTGATGCGACGCTGTTTAAGTAGGAGTAGACTGCATGTGACTGTTGATCAGGAGCCCGAGTTTGTCTCCAGACTGATTTTAAAGGGACGGGTTGTTTGCTGTGTGAAAAGTGTTTAGGGGGACAATGAGACAGGCAGCTTTCACATTGCCCGTTTCTCAGGGTGAATGACAGCAAACAGGAAGCATAATTCAGTACTAGGGCAGGGTAAGGCAAACCGAGAAGAATGAAGTTGAGTGGAAAGTCGAGGCGTTGTAAATAGGGCGACATCTTCAGGTGGTGAGACGCCGCGTTCTCAGATGCCAAGAGAGGGTCAATTTGCAGACTGTGGCGTTCCCATGACAACTGCGGGCTTCGTCTGTTCTGGGAAGAGTCAGTCAGTCAGTCAGTCAGTCAGTCAGTCAGTCAGTCTGTGGAAACGTATCCCTCTGTAATTTAAAGGATCGTTGTTTGCGGTGAGCTAGCCGACGCGTAGCGTGCGGGGCAGCCGATCGTCCGCCGATCGCTTAATTACAGAGCTATCGTTATCCCTGGGCCCAGCTCACATTTCTCACGGCTCACGGCTGTTTGGATTCTTAAGGCCCTCCGAGGGGTATTCCCACGCACTACTGTTCGTTCATCCAGCGCCTGGCTGGCAGGGGCGTGGGGAGCTAAGAAAGCCTCAGTAGCTGACAGATCTCGGCGCCTGACGCGGGAATACAGTCTGATGAAAGTAAAGAAATTTGCCACATTCCAGAAGACCACTGCCTTGTAGCCTGTCACAAAATTTTAGTGGGAATACGCGTTAATGTCATTCTCCTAGGCCTTCCAGCCAAATTTCTCAAGTCACCATTCGTGTTGTGTGCCCACTTGGTTCTTGTGAATTCGATAACTCTGACAGTAAGTTACGTGATAAGACCCACGAAGTTCGAAGCTCTCTAGCTTCTTAAGGCCTCTTTTTTTATAAGAAGCCGGAGATTTAACGAACACTGTCTTCTGTTGAGCGATAAGTCATTCATCCTCCTGATTATGGAGGCAGTAAGCACCGCTGAAACGTCGGTACACTTCCAGCAGATTACACGGCGCAACTCCAAGATGACAGTCATCTGAAATCTCACCTGGAACATGAAAAGTTTCGGAACTGAATCTCAGCAAGCATTCCTAGAATTTAATTTCTTGGTGAATCTACTATTGACATGAAGATTTCTGTCTTCTGGGTTATAACCCAGAAGACAGAAATCTTCATATTCACCGCTGTGAGAACCTCAAGTCTTACATACTATTGACATGTTGCAATTCTTCGCAAATAATTCAGGATTGAAGATCGCAGCTGTGCGTATAATGTAATAGGCCACGGCAGCGCTGATCTGTTGCTGCGTAAGCCAAAGTGACAACAGCGCCGAGGAGATCACCGCGCTAATTCGAATGTCGCATGTTGTCAGCGCTTTTTGTAGGCTCCCAGTAGCCACAGCTTCATTACCCCGAAGCCCTGGGTTTTTACACGTATCACGGAATTATCTGGTACAGTCACCACCAGCAGCGTTCCTCCGTACATTATTACCACTGCTAACAACGCAGACTTAACTGCCCAATACAAAACTTCTCTCCTGGTGCACGCGTTTCTCACAGATTTCCAGAAACGAAGTCCCGTTGGCCCGTAACTGAAGCTGCTTCTACGGGGAAAAGCCAGGCAGGCCTTCAGTTCGTAGGTACTTTGTCGCGAAACACTTCACATGGTAGGTCCTGAGGTTTAGCGGCTGTGAATACAAAGATGGCTGTCTTTTGGGTTGTAGCTCGGTGTAGTAACGAAAGCTAAATTTGTTTCTTGTTCTTAATTTGGCATTGAGAATATGGAGCCACAGCTCCACACATCTTAACCTCGGAGAGTGGATGGCGTTGAGTGTCAGCTCCACTCGCTGACCGCTCATTCTTTGTAGTCACTGGACCGGAGGTTACTTGGGCCTCGGAGACGACCTAGACGCGTCGACGAAGAGAACGATCCGTACCACTGGTGGGAAATGAATCCCTGTCTTCCAGCCTGTAACGAATCAGTACCCGGACCGGGTCTCTTCACGTTCGAAATTCATCCACTTTCTCTGGGACAGTAAACGAATATATTTCCTCAAAGAATATGTTGTTTATCTTTTCCTAGTTAATTCGCTCAAGTCCCCGGGGCACGAAGCTGGTCTAAGAACAACGTTCCTGGCATCACACTGCAGCTCCTCCGTTACAAGTAACAGGGCGGTAAATGTTTTGGGAGACAATCGGTGTTTGCTGCGAGAAAATAAATACAGTCTGTGGGCGAAGTGAAGACTTGCCGGGCGTTACAGCAAACACAAGCTTTGAGAATTTAACGACGCATAATTAACTGCGTGGAATTACATTCGATAATCTTTTTTGTGGGTGGCAAATTGGAAAGGACTAGTCGAGAACGTGCCCACGGTCTGTTTTAAGGCCCAGCTTTGACTTCGCATGGGAGTCTAAGGTGAGTCCCGCCTGACAAGTCTCAAACCCGTGACGCCTCGAATACGTGGCGGCGTTGAGAGGAAAGCAACGGAACAGCAACTACTTTCTGGGTTGACTGTACTAACAGACCGCCCACAATTCCTCAACTCCGAGAATCTAAACCTTAAGGTGGGGCGCATTTATAATCTGGGATGGGGGTGGAATAATTGTGGCTTGATATAAACCGCGTGATGGGGGTGGGAGAGGGTTTAAACAATAGCGGGAGGGGTGCCAACCCCACGGGAATGGGATGGGTACAGCTGGGTCCACGAGGTTCGCTCAGAGCCAGGAGGGACTGAGGAAAAACAGGCCGGCTTCATCGCCAAAGCTGCGAATCCTCGCGTTAATGGCAGCGGCAAATTCAGACGACGAATTCCAACGTGCGTGGTTTCTTCGTCAGGTGACAGCTGTCCGCTACCCAAAGTTCATCATCGTGTTCACAAAAGAAAAGCATTCGACGCTATCTTGAGCCAGTACTCACCACGGCTAATTTTAATATTTTCGAGCGATGCGTCTCTCTTGAGTCACCATCACCATGAGTCGCCATCTTCCGTAACAGCGTAATCTTATTTGTGTGTTGAACGACACTGGTCCAACTGTTGAGCGAAACAGCAACAAACATATTTTGATATTCTCATCGCTGACAGGCCGAGCGCCCCGTGTCTGGCTGCAAGTCGACAGTGGGCTGACGGATTTTAGCTCTGTTTGAGAGACGATGCAATCTCCTTCTTTATTCATATGTGCTTCATTTAACGACTCTTATCAGTAGATCAGACTATGCGTCATCAAATGGTAGAATTGTTAATGTTCTAATGAAAAATGCGCCGAAGAAGTGTGGAAGGAGGCGGTCGTGGTCTACTTTACAGCTTTTTCTCTGCATTTGGCTGGAGTGACTGAGAAAAACTACGAAGCTTAAGTAAAGTCTTCGGTATCTGGGTCGAGGTATCAACCTGGGACCTCCCGAATACAAAGCAAGTTAACACAAGGAGGATGGGATGGGCGAGGAATGTAGCTCGCGTGAGAGAAATGAGAAATTCGTGCGCGGTTAGAGATTTTGATTGTAAAACATGAAAGGGCGGGAGGAGATTTTTGGGGTGTCTGTGCGCAGGTGTGAGCATACTCTCAAAAGTAAATTTCGAAAAACAGAATACGAAGTTGTGGATTTGGTGCGCCTGGTTCAGTTGCCCCGCGCCATGCAGTGGAGTGTGTGATGTTGGCAGCCCTGCTAGGCGGGCCGGGTTATTGTGCGGCGGCGGGCGGAGACCACGCCGTTCCTGTCCCCAAGTGACCCCGTCACCTCGCTCCACCTTCGCAACGTTTCGAGAGGTGTTTGCAGAACCCTTATGGGGACATCGTGTGTGTGTCCATGGCTCCGACATTGTTGCACGTCAGAGGTTTGCGGAGAGCAGACGGCCATGTTCCTTCCCAGCCGAGATGATGCCACCTTCACGTTACATTCAGTTCTGCACTGTCCGGAGAACTCTGGCCCAGTTGGTGCGTGCTGGACCATTAGAGGAAGAACGGTCTAACAACTTGTATTACGCATAGCAAATTTGTCTATTTCAAAAGCAGAAGAATTTAATCCGCCATTAACAGATGCGAAACAACATTCGTTGAAATAACTTTCCTGTAAAATTCTGTACGTCTTTGCAGGGCCACTGGACATTTCGGGGGTCACCGTCTCCTGAACGTGAAGCGTTCTGACGTTCGGAAAGAACGCGAAGTGCGCCGAGAATAACACGAGAGTTCTCGGAAGTAAGAAAATTAATCGACAGGCCTGCTGATCGTTCTGTTCACTCTGCGTTGTTTTAAGGAACTAAGTATGTGCACCAAACAGGGATACAAGATGTGCCAAGGAAGGACGTGGGTTAAAGGGTCTGAGAACATTTCGCCGAAGAGAGAGGCGTGGGTTAAAGGGTGTCTGAGAACATTTCGCCGAAGAGAGAGAAATGTGGTCGGGACATCTATAGTAAAGAGAGCATTTGGAAGACCTAGGCGTGAACGGTCGTTGGAGACTCAGGGTCTGAGGATCCATCCGCCTGAGAATAGTGTCCAGTGGACAGTCGGAGATGTCTGTCGACCAGCTGCGCGACTGTCATCTTCTCAAGAGGGACTCTTCAGCATGACGTCAGAATTGCACGAGTTGAAGTGACCGCTTCTCAGAATGAAGTCAGAGTTCGCGATGCCTGACAACAGTCTAATAGGAAGATAGTCACCTGGACTGATAGACTGCTTGCACTAACTGCGGTCACACTTAATAATTTATTTATATATTTATACTTAATTTAACGACGCTTTTTCAGTGGCCCAGGTGTATAGCGCCGAATAAGATGATGATAGTGAATAGGAAAGGATGTGGAAGGAAGCGGTCGTGGCCTAATTTAAGGTACTACCCCAACACACTTAATCATCATCATCATTACGAACTGTGTAGGATTGGACTTCGATGGCCGTTCTTAACTTGTGCGCTTGGTGCCTTCATATTTTCCACGGCAGGTCAGAATACTCTCGTCTCACTGGTCTGAAATCCTGTGCCAGCTTCGGCTACAAATTGCAGCTAATTCTGGTTGTGGTCCAGGGTCATGATCGTCACTTCTAATGCTTCCGTGTCTGAGAGACATTTTACTGGTGATTCTCCTTGCGCCTGACCCCAGTGAAGGTCGCGGAAACCTAATTTGTTCTGCTTCAGTTTGCCCTTCCTTAAGGTCCAGGCAACGCACTCGTGTTCCAGGCCAGACGATGGTGACGAGCGATGCAGGCCTAAGCCTATCCTCTTTTAAATTCTCTTTTCGTTTTCTTCTCTTGTTTGAGACAAATCTAGCTGAGCTTACTTAAGTTCTATTGTTTAATCAGTACTTTTATTATCTAGAGTAACTTTTAAGCAATAAATTTTGATTTCGTGCATTCATAGATTAAATTTGGTTGTCAGACACGTTCACCTACCAGTCATTAGAAGTTCTTCGTCCAAAGAACGCACATGACCGTCTGTCCGTCCGCGTTATTCAACCCAACACCTGCCGCTTTACCATGGTTTTCTCTGGTTACCGCTTTTCCACTCGTCAATTTTCTTATCATTTTCCCGCTGGGAAATAATGTTGCGAGAGACTTCGGTTCTTTGTTGTGTTTTGAAGGAGCCCGTTCACGAAGCACGGACTATAAAGGGTCTTCAGCGCGAGACAGCATTTCCGGCCACTACGACACGCAACCATTATTTTCAAATTCCTTTATACGTGAGCTTTGATTGTAAGAAGAGTCGTGATGAGCGGCGAGCTTGAAATATCTGTTGCCAGCTTCAAGCTCACATTTGTACTTACAGAAAAAATAACATTTCACGAACAACAGCTCATACCATTTCTTGATCGGTGTCCGTTAGGCAACGTATGAAGAGTCCACCTCCCCACAAAGTGCCAAAGATGTTCGAGAAGGACAAAGGAAGACCACTCTTTGGATTTCATGGCGACTTTACCTTGACATCATATGCGCCATAGAAAAAAATCAAGGTTGTTTGTATTTTGTCTCAACACCAAGTCAAATCGAGCATGGTGAAAAGCACGCAGTCAAACCAGAGATTGTTTCACGGTATAATGAACCGAAGAGTGGCGTACGTGTTGACGAAATGGCAACGACATGCAAACTCAGACTGTTCTGCAGCGTGAAAGCATTTCGCTGTGTCTTCTGAAGAATCCAGAATGGCAAGGCATTTTCGACGTCTCCTATTGTTCAAGAGGTGCGTTCCCACATCATCCGAAGAGCCTAAAATTGTGCTCTGGAGAAGCTTATGCCTGAGGAAATGGAAGCTGTTCGAGATTACCCGAAACCACAGAAAGATACTACACCGACAACGAAAAGAGGCCTGTGAAGTCGAAGCCTGCTGCATAGTTGTGTCCCAAGACAACAGACGGAAGGCTGATCTCAAGTATCGAACACGTGTAAGAACCACTCCTCGGAAAATAATCTAATTCAGTGCAGTTTAGACTGAAGCTGCTACTGTAATCTAGTCAGGTTAGGTTAGGAGTCACGGCTCCTGACGTTAAAACGTGGTCACTTTGAGAGGGTCAAGCCATTCAAAGAGGCACTGAATTACCCATTTTCAGAATTACGACGGCTGGCTACGATGGTCACAATGCAAATGTCACTTTCAGTAAAGTAAAATATCCACGGTATATGATTTGAAGTTGTAGCGACGACTGAATTCAGTAAAATCATCCGGGGCAATCAGCGACGTCAAATGGATACACACATGTCTGACTTCACGTCAGAAACCTGATGATGGGACCAGAGATGGTTCCGTAAACCTTGGTTTCTTCGTGTCACCATTTGACTCGGCTGCTTGTCCCAGTAGATTTTACTGAAAAATATCCACTGGTCCGACCAATTGATTCATTACAAAAGAAGTCACGTTTATAGACGAATTTCTTGCGTATTTTTAGATCAAATCGTCCGTCAACTTGGGTTTTCTGTTTCGAACTGTCGGGTTTCCACTCTTGACTTCCGAAGGGAACAAAGTACGGTATTTAATCAGGGTGAAATGGTATTGAGTCTGCAGTTTTCGCTGCTGGAAGCACGTGCCTTGTGTTTTGCGTGCCTCTCGCTGACGCAACGACAGCTGTTTTATGACGTCTAAACAAGTAAGCGGGTTGGATTTTCGCTGGTCAGTCCTCAACTGTGTAGTGAAGAGTACTGTCGTGTCCGATAGGAGTGGCGTAGTGAATAATTTTATGCACATTTCCGTGTATTTTTGTTGGAAAGTTTGTGTGAATGTACGATCATGTTAATACAAAGTTATATTTCAAAGCTTCCACACCAAGTCGTTGAATCGGACATGTTCTTATGTAAGCAGAGTACGATCGGTGGTGGTCGCAGTTTATGGGGCACTGCGTAGTCAGGATCAAAAAATAGTTTTTAGAGTGTACAGTTTCTTCAAGAATCACGCGAAAATGTGAAGATGAACTAAGCAGGCCGAATTTCTCAAAGCTTAAAGACGTTCTACATTTCGAGTGTTTCGCGGATGATGCCGACGCTGTTTCATTGGCTCCCCTGGACTGAAACGAAGCTGCAAGGTATGTTTTATGAGCTACATTATTTGTGTTCAGAGTCTCATTGTGTGTATTATGTACAGTCCCCCCTCCCACCCCCACCCCGCAATGTTTTGCTGTATTTGTGTAGGTCCGGGGCTTCGTCCCCACACATCGCGACATGTGGGAGCCGAGTGCAGTGACTTTTCATCGGCTAACTTAAAATGTTGGAAACGGCGACATTTTTAATAGTTCATGTTACGTTAATTTCTCCGGGGGTTTTCCGTGGAAACACTGAAGGACGCTGAGGTTTACGGCCCCAGGGGCCAGCATAATCTCGAGAAAATGTGTGATGGAGACAGATCTGCGTCTAAGTTTGATTCCTTTTGGACAGATTCCACATGAGTCCTAAACGAAATTCTAGTACTCGGACACAGTCAACTTGAGTCAGTACAGTTACAGTAAACAGGTTCTAGTTGTAGCAGGATTCAAGGCCAGCGAAACTGGTCTCCTGGGATCGAATCCTGTCCAGGTCTTTTGTGTTTCAGTGTTTTCTTTAGTACTACAACTCTTTGCTTTGGCTAGGACACTAATAGTCCTAAATGTATTTGTAATAATTCAAATTTTGAAATAGATTTTCATCCGGCTCTGTGTTGGGTCTGGTACCGCAGATAGCCCATCCATTATTTCGAAAGTGTTCATTGCGCCGGTCAGAGGAGACGCAAACTCTGATAGGTCGTTCTTGAGTAGGAAATGAATAGCAGGAACTGGGAAGCAGTGCCTTATAAACTTTCACTGGGGACTTGCTTACTTCAACGGGCTTGTTATCTTCGCCGAATTCCTTGACCTTTCCAGACTGAGGGCTGTATCTTCCATCACGCAGTTTGTCCTCTGCAGAAATAACATTGACTGTCTGGGCGCTGGACACAGAATTCGCCAATTAGGCGGATTGAATTTATTCTCCGCAGATAAGAAATATTTCTGCAGTTGAAACAACAAAAGAGAATTCCCTTTCGCTTTGCAGCGGCGCGTGCTCTCTCTCCGCCCCCTCTAGATGGACAGATCTGGAACCGGTATTTGAAAACGTTTATTACTTCTTGTGTAGGAAAATAATCTCCGTCACAGTTCTGCAACGCGGACCATCACGACGTAAGATTTTGAAATACTTTTGAGATATTATTCCAACAAAGGTCCACACCCATCCGTGGCTGCCCTGAGAGGCGTGCGACAGCCCTGACCAAGCAGCACGTCTTTACGTCCCCGGGTTTAGGTTAGGTTAATCTGCGACCCGGCACTTGTCTGCTCTCGGAATGAAAGGAGGGAGACTGGTTCAGACTATTTCAGTGGACCATCGCTCTGGTGTATAGGAATGTTCGAAAAATCATATGCTGATTGATACGAACCCGTGACAGCGGCTTACAATGCCCGCAGAAGAAACTTCCCGTCTTTGGTGTGGATTTGTGCACGTAGCATCAAGTACATGTGTTTGTTTGACGCCGGGTACTTTTCTTCATGAATCGTTAGGACGATGCCACTGGGTCAGTAGACTGCCGAACCTTTTGGTTACTTATCATGCACGTAATCGGGATGCATTTTGTCTCTCCTTAAGCTTCGCTCGGAAGATGATGATCAACATTGATATTTATTCGATATATACTTGATTGTTTTGATTTTTGAAAGGTCCACTTAACTTCTAGTTTATTATGATACTTTGTTTTGAAATTATCCAAACCTATTTATATTCTCAAGTAAGGCTTAGCATAGAAAAGGCAGCAGGACCCATGAGCCTTAACATGTAACGTTCATACCCGACTAAACATATCTCATGTATGGTGCAGGCTATTTTCAACGCTGTGTAAGGAAACATTGTTATCCTTTGCAGTGTGGTATTTGTAATGGTATTCGTACCAATGAAAAAACTTAAAATACGCAAGCAGACTTAAGTAACTTGAGTTCTCCTTGGCTATTAACGCAGAACTGCGGGTTTCTCGCGTCTTTGCTTGTAGCCGTGGCCCACTTAACCGCTCCCTCTTTCTATAATTGCACGGGGCACTCAATATAGTCGAAATGGTTCCGAAGGGTATATTTCATTTGTGCCTGACAATGAAAATGTGGAAGCCGGAGCGTACGTTCTTGTGTGTGGAGAGAAACGATTTCTCGGGCGATTGTCCTGGAGCTCGCAGTCCGCCCAGAAGTCTGCGGGAACTAACTGATTGATCCTCCGATATCCAGAATCAGTTGACGGCTGTGGTTGGGGGCGACCTCAGGCACCGTCGAGAGTGGCTTTCTCCTGCTGCCCCTCAGGCGGACACAAGGCCTCTCGTCGCGCGAAATTAAATCCGGCATCAGCGGCAGCTTCGTTTAACTCAACTCGATTCTGTGTTGTCTGCGGCTCGGTCCAGGGGACTGCCTCATTTGCAACACGTGCCTCGGGTCTGTGTAGCACCTGAGGAGAATCACGCGGCTCGTGTCCGTGTCTCTTATCTTCACGCCGCGGTGGAGTGGGCCGTGGGAATGGGCTGGCTGCTGCCGAGCGTGACACCGTCAGCGAGGTTTCCCAAGAAATGCAAAGTGTTTGAATGTTGTTCTCCTTGCAGCCGAATTTCGAAAGGTTACTCGAGGCGCGACCTGAATGCTGCCATCACTTTCCCACCGGTCCCTCGACTGAGAAGC